CGCATTTATGGTAATTACTTTTGCCGATGCTTTGCGGCAAGCTTAAGCCTATTGTGTGCATTTGAACGCAGAACTCTTCAGCTGCACTGACGGCAAGCATGCTGCTGCTGCGGGACACTAAACACCGTCTAGCCGCTCTTGACAGTCTCGGTAGCACGGTCTCGTGTTGTTTCCACGATCTAGCACACAGAAAGCAATTTTACTGAAAATTTATCAGAAGAGATGAAAGAAAGATAGCGGTCATCTGCGCAATTCGGAAAAAGAGGCTTTTCTGCATTAGGTATGTTTTTTTTCTTTCTTTTTTTACTCTTTGTACAGCAGTTATTGTTCATTCTAAATTAATTTTTAAATGTAGAATATGTACCGGTGGAAAAAAAGGTTGAGAACCACTGGTCTATGGTCTCTACACGCTTCGGTCTTCACACGAGGAGGCCGTCACGCGACGGCTGCCGCGGTAAACTAAGCTTTTTTATACCCGTCTAACAAAATATTAAATTAATTCAGCTGGACACACTTTCCTTATTTTCTCCTAAACAAATGGCCAAGCAAGCGCAGACACTGACAAGATATGCGATACAGAACGAGACCAAACGCAATATCAGCACGTCTCCACAGAGTAAACAAAACAAGCGTTTCCTAGCAACGACAACTGCACTAAACACTAAAAAAAAAAAAAAAGTTCAACAGATTATTAATATGCAATGATGATAAAAAAAAAGTGAAAAGTGATTCTTTTAAATACTAAAACCGCCAGTAGGTGGCGGTAAGTCACTGTCTTAATGCGTGAGTCATCGAGTCATTTGTTCATTCAGTAACTAAGCAAGTGGCTGTATTTAGAAATGAATAATTGAAACACCGCAAAAAAACTCAACATTTTGTTCGCGTACCCCCTCTGTCGCCTCACGTACCCCAGTTTGGGAACCACTGTTCTACTTTTTATTCAAAAGTTGTATTCGTAATTTATGGTATCAGTTATATCACAGTTACTTGTGATTCTGATATATATATATATATATGTAACTACCATATTTTTTATTATAAAATATATAAATATGATGTGTACAATGTGTTTTGTGAAATGTACAATATATTTAGATTTTCTGCTCTTAAACTCACTATTTCTGACACTATTCTGTTTTATTCTATACTGGTCAGTGCTGTTATTGTTAACTAAAACTTCAAATAATCTTTGTTCATTGAAATAAATCTGAAATAAAATATAAATATATATTGAATGTAAGGCTTAAAAAATAGAAATGTTTCCTTGGCAACTAACTGAAATAAAATAAATTTAAGTTGTACTAAAATTACTTAAATTGAAACTAATAAATAAAAATAATAGCTAAATATAAAAAAAGCTAATAAAATGACAAAAGCACAACAAAATCACTAAACACACTAAAATGAAAACTGAAAATGTAAAAATAGAAGCAAATTTAAAATAACAAATACTATAATAGTATATAAATAATACTAAAATTGCACTTATTCTGGATCAGACTGTCCCAACAATCATCAATATTATTGGATCTAGATTCTAGAATGTTGTGAAAAATAACTGTCAAAAACCAATAACCATTGGAAAATTGTGTTTTGTTGGTATTTGCTAGGGCAGTGTAAACTAGCTTTAATATTGCCTTTCTAGCAAATGTGATGGAAGTTGATAGTTTATAAAGTGATAACCCTGTCAGCAAAATACTTACAGCAGGGAGCCAGTAAACCTCAATTTTAATGAATATCATTAAATTAAATTGAAAACCAAATGAGTGTTTTGATTAAAGTGAAGGGTCCACTTTCATCTGCCAGGAGCATAACAATGTTTTGTCCTTATACAGTACACATCAAGTATCACACAGATGTTTGCATGAAAATATCGACACACAAGTGTATGTGGAGAGATCATAAACAGTGTGTGTGTGTGTGTGTCTGTGTGTGTGGATGTGATCCAGGCCCCTCGACCCCCAAAGCAGCCCAACATCCAGGACTTTCAGTTCTTTCCACCACGTCTCTTTGAGCTGCTGGAGATGGAGATTCTTTACTACAGGAAAACCATCGGATACAAGGTGAGCACTTTCTGTACGTCTTAATTGTATTCAATATTTGTGTACAATCAGCTCAAGTGTTTTCTGTTGAAGCATCTGATATAAAGCTGTGTGCGACTGTGTATATGTGTTTTTTGTAGGTTCCACGTAATCCAGATATCCCAAATTCAGTACAGGTCCAAAAGGAGGAACAAGCAAAGATAGACGAGGCAGAACCCCTCTCACCTGAAGAGACAGAGGAAAAAGAGAAACTACTCACACAAGTACACAGAAGTCCCCTCCCTATCACTCATATATACACACTTATAAATGTGCCACTTACAGAGCTCAGTGCTATAAAAGAATATGTTTGTTTTTACCAGGGCTTCACAAACTGGAACAAGCGTGATTTCAATCAGTTTATTAAAGCTAATGAGAAGTATGGTCGTGATGATATTGACAACATCGCCAGAGAGGTGGAGGGCAAGACGCCGGAAGAAGTCATGGAGTACTCCGGTACAATACACACCAGATCAACTATACACAAGCCATACATCTAAACATCTATATAAATTACACACTAGTGATATGCAAACTACATATTTTCAAAATCCGCTAGTTGGTGGGTTGCTTTAACTAAATGGTCTCAGGGAACCCTGTATAATTTTGCTGGTTTTAGGGTTCATGTGACCCGACCAAATAAAAAAAGTAAAAACAAGGATGAAATATATAATGGAGTATGAATAATAGAGTATATATAAAATATATATTAAAATATTAAACATAGTAAGATGAGAAATAATGACGGCAATAAAAAAGAATAAATGTCAAATTTATTTAATATTATTTGAAAAAAATATTATTATTGTTACTGTCATCATTGCTCATCTTATTAATTTCAATTCTTAATTTATAGTGTGAACTGTCAGCATGCTAATTAAAGCATTTAAAAAAAAAATCTAATTGTTGTGACCCAATTCGTATTGTACACGCACACACACGCACGCCTTAGTGTACTATATATATATATATATATATATATATATATATACTTTTAAAAAAGGGACATTAAATGTCAATTGCAAAGCCTTTATTTAGAGGCATCGCCACATGGAAAAAAGATTCATAAAGAGTCTAAAAAGCACCTTAATTTATTATTAATGTTAAGGTTTTATAACAGTTACAGTCAGCTCACATTAGATGTGAATTGGAAGTCTCATGGATATATTTTCGTGGTTGTGTGTGTGTGAACAGGGTTTACTTGGCTTTACTTTGGGGGCAACATTGTCCCCAGAAGTGAACTGAATCTGGCAAAGCTTCTGTTTGGGAAGGTCCTCAATTGGAAAAAAGTTCATAAATTCTAACCCATTAAGATGGGTTAAAATTAGTCTGTAGAGTTTATGTAAGAACAATAAAATAAAAGATAAAAGCCTATGGAACGTTCTCATTTAGACAGCCGAGTAAATGTGTATGCGTGTCAGACACAAATGCAACATTTTTGAATAACATTATATCCTGGGATCTTTTTCAGGTCATATTGGTGTGCGTGTTTGTGAAAGCGTGTGGGTGCAGATGCTTGTGTGATGCCTGAAAGGAACTGTAAAAGTCGATGAGATGTGATGTATAACTCTTGTGCTGAGATGATGAAAGAGTTTCCTTCCATGTGTTTTGTCTGGTTTGCTAGGAGCTGCAGCGGCGCTGTAACACGCTCATTTCTCTCATTGAGAAAGAGAACATGGAGATAGAGGAAAAAGAGCGCGCTGAGAAAAAGCGAAGAACACCCAAAGGACAATCAGTAATACGTCCTGTCTTCTTTCTTTTTGCTCCATCTGTTGTTGTGCTCCGTGCTTCACGTCCCCAGAGACTTTCCCTCTAGTTCAGAATCACGCTTGAACAACTGAACAAGAACAACATGCAAATGATCAGAATTCCCCTCAGATTTACTGTCCGCAGTAAAGTATAGTATATTCCACTGACGATTTCAACCCTGTCTATCTATCTATGTATCTGTCTATCTATCAGAACTTGTGCATGGTGAGTTGCAAGATTTTGCCTGGAGCGAGGAGCGTTTTTCCTCCCCCTTTTTTTTTTTGGCTGTTCTCAATTGCTTCAGTACTGTTCCATCACATGCTAACTGCCTATAATGTCAGCAAGATTTACAATCTGTTAAATCTGTCTCACTTCCTATCTATCTATCTATCTATCTGACTGTCCTAAAAACATGATGTTTTTTTCATCTTTTCACAGGCTCACAAGCGTAAAGCCGACGTGTCGTCTGACAGGAAAGAGAAGAAATCTCGTACCTGACTCGTGTACCCGCAGCCCTTTGCTCCTCATTACGAAGCACTACAATAATCAGACGCCTCTCTACAGCATTTTGCCATTCTGTTTTTATCTGTTGTATCTGTGACTTAACACCAGGTTCTTAAAATAACCATGTACATTTTTTGGGACATCTAAAATACTTCCATACTGTATTGATTTTTGTCCCACGGGCTGCATACATGTTGGCAGCTACACATTTTGCTAAAGCTTGTTTTTAATCAAAAATTTTTTCTAAATGTTCCTTGTTCATATCAACATTGGCATTTATTTAGCATGCTAAATAGAGGCTCTAAAGCCTGTTCTGGTCTTGTTTGTGTTTTATAAATGAAAACTTTTTGCCTGTTATTGTATGTTTAAGGTCTCTGTGGTCCACCTTAATCCATGTGATCTGTAGCTTTGCACATCCAGTCTTCTTAAGCTCTTTTATACATTCATGTGCCATTTTAATGTTGCATTTAAGCAATTTTACACATTCTTGTTTGGACTCTTGTTTGAACCTTTCCTTATCTTTATATGTACAAGTCTAGTATTATTAAAAAACTAAATTGTTGGATTTGTTTATATCTTATTTATGTTTATATCTTATGTTTTATTGTGGGAAAAAATTGTGCCACTTTGAGGTTACAAACCTTTTAATGGGGCAAAAAATCATAACCAATCCTAACCAGGCATGTCAAAACAGCAATAAAAGTTTATCTTCTACACTGAAAGTAATTCACAGTGACCAAACCCCTCTGAGACCAGCAAAGCATAAAGACTGCTTTAAGCTTTTTTTTTTTTTCAGGTTAGATGCCATATTACACCAAACATTTTTAAATAATGTCAGTGGATAAACGTTGGCAGCCCTAATATACTGAAAAACAAAACAATTACAGAATGAAAAGTAAATTAAGAAGACAAGTTGAAAACAAAATATATACACTAAATAAAAAGAAACATAATAATCTTGGTCATTCAGCGGCTGCAGTACCGCATATCTCGCCACATGGGTTCGCTGTTGTACTTTCTCTCCTGAAGCCTGGCTCGCCACAGAACATTCTCTCCGCTCGGCTGTTGAATGTGTACCGCGCGCCCTCACCCGTTTCTGTCACACACTCTGACAACGTGAGTACAGAAACCGGTTGTCTTAAAGGCACGAAGAAACACCTGAACGAGCAGAGATGAGCTGCTGGCCGGTATCTGACTCGGGTCTCACTCTGAGCACATCATTGGTTCTGGTGACATCCGTTACCATACCGCACTGACGACATCTTATTTAAGCGCGCAGACAAGACAATGAAACCTGTACCATCAGGTGACAGCTTTGGTTCAGCAGCACTAAACAAAGTCTCTCTCTATTTCTCCCTGCCTCTTTCTCTGTCGCTGCCTCTTCACTCCTTTATGTAAAAATGGGGGGGTTTCAAATTGAATTTGCAGCTGGTGTGTGTGTCTCAATCGCACCTATAGGGTTTATGCAAAGCACACATACACTCACACACACACACACACACACACACAGACAGACAGACAGACACAGACACAGACACAGACACAGTCATTAGTACCCAAATGACCTGCTGTGACAGAACTGCAGTCACACTCTTGCATTCCGCTTCCTGCTCACTGGCCCAGAAATCCAATCTCCCCCATCATCCATCTCCGTGTGCGCGCGTGTATCAGTGTGTGTGTGTCTTGAATGCAGGTGTTAATGTGTTTTGTGCCTTATCTCACTCAACCAAACCTACTACATAAAACATATGCAGCTCAGAAAGAGCAAGAAAGAAGTGGTACACTGCAATATTCACTCTTCTGTTTCACTGGGGACAGGAACAGGTAGAATTGAATGATGAACATAATGTCTTAGTTTTCAAAAGACGATTTGAGACTGATGTGTTCTAAAGTTTAACAGAGATTGTTTACCACAAAATGCTTCCCTTGTGAATTCTCGCAGCCCCGTACTGTTCAGAGCTGTCTTTCTTTACTTATTTTGGCTGTGAACTAGGCTACTGTTTATTAGACATTGCAACTATGAAGATCATGAATATAATGGCATGTGTGAGTTTGGATGGTCTTGAAAATTATGTTTAAAAAAAAAAAAGACTTTATAACAAGATGAACCAGGTTTGACATCACTGATGGCATTGGTTCTTGCATGCCTTGTACTCAATCACAGTACAAGTTCGAATATGCTGAATCTCTTAAAGAAATATATTTCAGTCAGGGTATAGCTCCATATCATTTGGACAGGAATAAAATTGAGGCAGTGAGGGATAGAAGTACAGTGTGTTCTTTGGATTGTACTGTTGGTTAACAGCATACTGATTGTTCAGCTGATGAAAAGTCTTTCTGAAAGTAGACAAAAACTCCTTAAAACAGTTTTGAAAGTTGTGAACACGATCTAGGACCTTTATACAGTGTGTAACATTGTAAAGAAAATTGTTTTCATCCATGTTAAATTCAATATGGCGTCTAACCTGAATAAGGTCTATAACGATTTTATATTACCATTATATTCAAGCTCTTCTGAAGTCAAATACTAGCTTAGTATTAACTACAAGTTTGACATCAACATCAGAGATGTAAAAAAAGGTATATATAATTGATATATAGTAATATATTTAATAGTATATTGATTTACTGTCACTTTTGATCAATTTAATACTTCCTAAATGAGCAAACGTATATGAGTATATAAAAAGATGTGACAATAAAACATTTATAATGTTACAAAAGATTTCTACTTAAATAATAAATGCTGTAATTAAATAATAAATGCTGTCATTTTTAACTTTATATTGAGCAAATAATCCTGTAAAATGTATCAGTTTCCACAAAGATGTTAAACGGCACAAGTTTTAAACATTGATAATATGAAATGTTTTTTGAGCATCAAATCAGTATATTAAAATGAAGGATCATGTGACACTAAAGACTGGAATAATGGTTGCTGAATAATATGTTAAGTTGCAAAGAGCATCATGAACAAGTTAATGTCTGATTCAGAATTATTCCTTTAAATGTTAACACAGATGAAAATGAGGCTGTGAAGGGTATATTTACAGTCTTTAAAGTTCCTAGATGACGTAATTTTTTGAACTCACAACTTTCGATTTTTTGTTTATTGAAAGTTTCTTTCAGAAAGACCTTTGGTCAGCTGAATATTTGGTGTGTTGTTAAACGACACACTGTACTTCTGTCCCTCAGCCTCAATTTTATTCCTGTCAAAAATTAAATATGGCAATATCCTAAGTAAGGCCTATTTTCCAGTAAAACTGCTATGGACAAACATACATACTCTAGATTTCTCTAAATATGAGAAATCCAGTTCATAATCATTTCTACACCCTTAGTTGTAATTACATCTTTGCACCAAATACCACAAGAGTATCATTCTTAAACCACAGATCATTTGCATTCATGCTTACAGCCATTAGGGAGAGTTGTTCAGGTTCCTGCACCCCACCCAGCCTTTTCCCAAATAATCATTTTGCACTGATTGTTTGTTTTTTTGTCTGTTAAAAACAAATCTATTTCAGCTACTGATGTTGCATTTATAGCATTTATTAAAATAAGTTTTAACTGCGATACACTTAATGTGAAGGGACCATGAAACACTAGTGTTAACAGCTTGTGCTAATTGGCTTGGAGTAATTTGTTTATCCAGCTGTACAAAAGAGACACGGGCGTGCCACAGGGACACCGCATCTCTCCGAGTAGAATGAAAGGACCGAACACAGATTTCGGAGTTTGTTGCCATGGATGCAGCTTACCTCCTGTGAATGACAGTGTTCTGAACGACGCTTGTAATGAATCGGTTTCTTTAATTCACCTTCGATGAAACATCTGTTAGGAATCACTTCTGTCCACCATTTCCTAAGAATCATTTGTTCGACATATTCTTTGTAGGCTTGTCTGTTCCTGCATGGATGATCAATAAATCAACGGCTCCACAGATAGAACGCAAGAAAGAAAAAGAAAGAGAGAAGACCAGAATCAAAATCATATTCTGTCTTGTATACGGTGACGGATGCATTTAGACCGTCAGACTTCCACACAGCAGGGATAAACTGCTCTTTATCTCTGTGTTTGGAAGCTCATTTAGTCTTATTAAAGTTCAGAGCTTGTTCTCTGTAGCCCTTTGTAGGAAAAAACGAGCTGCGGCTGTCAGACGCAGAGTCCCTGAGCGCACACCGAGCGCCTGTGCTGAGAACACGATCTGCTGAGGGAAAAAAGGGCATTTTCAACACTGACATTTACGTGGATTAATAATAAATATCTCATTAAATGAAAAAACATCTCTTCAGTGGCCTTGTGTTGACAAATTAATCTTTTGTCAACATTTTCCATGCTTCACATCACACTGTGTGAACTGCTGAACTGTGCTGTATAACAGGTACCGAAATTTAAGGAATGAAATCGTATCACTGTAATTTTTTACTGTACTCATATTATTTTTAATGTAAAAGTGGGTGTGTCTTTTTTTACCGTAAATGTGGGGGGGCTTTCTTTGTGAGCCGTTTCCAGTTATGTTAGCTGTAACGTCACTTTTAGAGCACCACCTTTAAACGTTTTAACCAGAATGATTAAACAAAAACACCTCAGTTGCACAGAAGAATAAAAAAAACTAAACAGACTTATAAGAGAGGACAAGACAGACCAAAAGAACACTGTTTTCATGAATGCCACTATTTCATTCCCACTACAGACATGGGCGGGGACCCTCTTATGGTTTTCTTTTTTCCTTTCTCTTTCATTCTTTCCCCCATCCTCAGCAAAACTTTGTGTAGTGTGAGTGTGATCTTTTCTAGCCTGTTCAATACCTCAGCCTCAATAATGGAAACGGCATGGTTCTCTTTCCGCTAACGTGCAGCAGTGCGTTCACTGGCTACCCGTGTCCACCAGTCTAAGAGTGGCCATGTGCTTTCTCTGATAATGTTTAGGCTGAACAGCTGGTCCTAGATCAGAGCGCCACATCACACCGCAAGACATTTCATCAGGAGAGACCACAAAGAGTGTGAGTCAGAAAATCAAAGGCTTTTAGAGGACAGTGTCATTTCTTTCCTATAAAAACATTGTGTTATTTATAGGAAATAAATACCCCCCCCCCCCCACCCCCCCCCCCCCCCCCCATCGCACGGATATGAGGCTGAGAAACAAAGTGAAATCTGTAAACAGCACAAGACGATAAGGGGGCTCTGGGTGGACCTGATCATGTGTGACCCCCTGTCAGGCGCATCAGTGGTTCCTATGGCGACCGAGTGCCTGCAAGTTGACTTCTGCTTCCACAGTCAATGGCTCTCTCTTGCTCTCTGTAATGTCATACCTTAAATGGAGATGACTAATTACTAGAGTTAATTAATTTAACGTGTGTTTGCATGCATATGAGGTATTTGCCTTACTTGGAGTTTAAGTGATTGCATTTTTGTGAGTGTGTGACAAAGATAGAGCGTGCGTGTGTATGTGTGTATATGCTTGCCCATGCAGACTTGGCTAATCCCTGATCGTGAGATGGCAGAGAATATGCTGGATTTCTTAAGGCTGCCTTCGTTTCATGTCAA